AAGCACCTTCGAGGACCGTGGCATTAGTAGGCCCAGACTCCCTTGCACTACAAATTCTGAGATGGTTAAAGGCTTCCAGAGTCTGGGTAGCATAGGAAATTTGGTGCATATTTTAGGGCATTGGATAGCGCGGTCTGCAAGGCAAGTTTGGGCTTTATTTCGGGTTTCGGGTGTAGGGCTTAGTTATACAAACCGATAGCCTCGGCCCTCCATATTCCCTCCATTTGACGGCTTTCAGCTGGGGCGATATAGCCCCATTTGCAGGTGCAAGGTGGGTCCTGAAACCTGAATTTTTCAACAGCATCACTTCTTGTGCTTATTTCGATTATTAGTAATTATCGGTACGGCTACTCTTATTACTTAATGCCATGACGACCATTTTTACTATTGCTATTGATTCCCTAAACCCTAAACCCTAAACCCCTAAACCCTAAACCCCTAAACCCTAAACCCCTAAACCCCTAAACCCTAAACCTATTTAGAGGACCTGCCGGCACTCTTCCACGAGTCTCAACACGTGGAGGGAGGCGACCCGGCCGCGACTTCGCATCTTTGCCTCGTTGGTGCCTCGGCCCGTCTTAAGGGATTGGGTTTAGGGTTTAGGGTTTAGGGTAAAGGGGGACGGTTTAGGAATGCTTGGGTTTGGGGGTCAGGGATTTGAAAATGTCGTTGCTGTATAAGACTTGGAGCTTTTCAGTCGAGCTATGGAGTCTAACTATGCGGCTCATACTTGCTTAGATTTCGGCGCTGCTTGCGTTGATGCAGGTTTCTTAGGGTTCCTTGCGGGCTTTCGATAGCTGGGTTTCTAGACTTCCCACCATGCCCCTCAAGTCCCCCAAACGCAGCCCGAAAAACGGAAATCCCCCAAATAACCAAAGCCTAAACACTGCACCCCAAAATCCAGAAACCCTGTACTACCGCTACTACCGCTACTACTACTCCTACTACTCCTACTACTACTACTACGACTACTACTACTACTACTACTACTACTACTACTACCTCTATGAATCCTGAGCCTTAAATCGCTTTTTTCCTTGCAAACTCTTCTTCCAGGCAACCACTTCGGCTCAAGGACCCGTGTGGTGTCCGAAGCCGAGGGCGAGCGTTTGGCGGAGGCTCTTGGCTGCCGTTACTATGAGGCTCGCGCCTTAAATAGGGCTCCTTTAAAGGAGCCCTTTGAGGATTCTATAAGGGATCTATGATAGGGTTCTATAATAGGGGCCTTAAGAATTAGAATAGAGTTTGGGGGTATATTAAACTATAGTTATAATAAGGAGCCCCCAAAACCCTACTCAAATTGTTAGTACATTCAACGTCCCAGATCGTTGCTTTCGAGCTGGGGTGTATAGGTGCGCTTGCGCAGTGCACTGTGGAGGCTTTATACGGCTGTGTCACAACTCTACAGAGTTGTTTCCAGAGCTTGAGATGCAAAGGGTTGAGGGTTTATAGCTATAGGGCCCCTGAAAGTCACAGGGTGACAAACTTCTTGGCGCTATAGTGCCTTCGGGCTTGATACAGATTTTAAGGCTTATGGGCTTAGCTTTAGGGTAGGTGTTCTGGTCTGGTACATCGTTAGTCTTCGTGATTGGGGTAGGCTGGTTCGAGAATCAGTAGCGGCAGTAGCGGCATAATTCCTAAGCGCGAGTCTGATTAGTCGTTCAGGCCGTCCTAGATCCTACCTATAGTCTCCATTGTAGTTCCTTTTGGGGGATACCTTATAGAATCCTAAATATAGACTTGGTTAAACCAACAAAAGGAACTACAATGGAGACTATAGGTAAACCCTAAACCCTAAATCCTAAATCCTAGACCCTAACCCTAGGTAAGCTTTTTTGATGGTGCCCCCAAACCCAATAGACGGTCCTGGGCGTGATGCCAGAGGCAGCTCCTACTTGCCATAGCCATGCGGCGACTCCCGACCCCGATTATAGAAGCTTTAGGGTTTTAGGGATTAGGGTTTAGGGTTGAGGGTTTAGGGTTTGGGGTTTGGGCCTAAAATAAGCAACTAGATTTATATCATTCCTCAGGGATCTCGATTATGAATTCTACGACAACATACCCCCCCTAAAACCTATCTACGATAATCTACAAGATACTCCACGAACCCTCTTCTAGTCATGAAACCCCCACGCCCCTGTAATTCTACTATACTGCACATCCCAAAACCTGTTCAATTCAAGAGGGCCCCTACAAATCCCAGGCTTTAGGTCTGAGGGTTTGAGAAACGGGTTGACCCTCGAGGGGATAAGCCAAAGCTCAACCAGAGCTGTCAATGACTCAAGTTGGTGTGGGTTTAAGGGTTTAGGGCCTAGTGTTTAGGGTTGGTGTGGGTTTTCGGGTTTAGGGAGCCAAAAAAGTTGGTTATTTGAAGAAAAGACTCATGCAGTTATGGGTGGGGCCCGACATTCACTCCAAAGTCGCTGAAAGCCTGTTATTTTGCGGCCTTGTAATATAGGGGCCTATATGATTACCAATACTGTTGTCCGGGGTTCCCTAGCACAATTCTAGTACCAGGGGCCCCAGACCCTGTTCTAATTCTTAAGCCCTAAACCCTAAACCCTAAACCCGAAACCGTTATTAAGGCCCCTATATGTGTGAGTTTCGCCTGGGCTGGGGCTGTCTGTGAGAGCACTAGTGGTGTCTCTGTTCATGGTAACGGGAGGTTCGGAAATTCGGGTTCAGGTTTGGGGCCGGTTTAGGGTTTATGGGAGGTTCAGAAATCCAGGTTTAGAGTTTAGGGCCAGTTTAGGGTTTGTGGGAGGTTCAGAAAGTCGGGTCATAGTCACATAGTCTATCATGATCCTGTAATTTTTGCTTTCGATATTGGGATCCCCAGCGTGAGCACCCTAGAGAAGCCACCCCACTTTACCACAAGCCCACACATCCGCCCTGGAGGTGTCTTCCGAGACAGGGGAGGGGCTGAAAGAGGTCCTCGATGCATGGCTAGACATCCACTTCGAGCGCATCCTGTGATTTCGTCTACTATGTGCAGCCTGCGACCAGGATGTCAAGTCTGCTACAGAGGGCAGTGAGGACCAGCGTGGACAGGCTATATTAGAGCATCATGGTGCTGGCAGACATCCTGCATTTGTGCGAAAGCAGTCTTAGCTGAGCTTGCAATTCAGAAGCGGCCTAGTGCAACGAAGCTGTGCACGCAGCAATCCGTCTGACTTTTCAGCTGACTTCATTGCAGTTTCGCCTGTCGCCCGCAATGTGGCTATTCTCATACCATTGCAGCGGACAAGAAAGTTGATTCGAGATAGTTTGCCCAAAGGGTCCAAGTTATAGTATAGTATATACTTTGGGGGCCCAAATACCTACAAAGTAGCTACCAAATTACTACTTGGACCCTTCGGGTTGGCCTTGACAGGCATCTGCACAAACATGCCGTGAGCTCTGCGGAGAGCTGGACAGCTGCGAGTGCGGCCGTGAGCGGTACCGCCAGACCATGACGCGTCTCTTCTACATGGGTTGGAAACTGTCAAAATTACCTATAGTCTCCATTGTAGTTCCTTTTTCTGGTTAAACCAATTATATAATCAGGATTCTATAAGGTATCCCCAAGAAGGAACTACAATGGAGACTATAGGTACTGTCCCGTTAAGTGTGGCATTCGAGAATGAGCAAGATCTTCACCCTGTCCGTCCTGAGTCCTGTCCTGCCGAAGCGTTGGTACGTGACAAAGCACGACGTGCAAGACGTGCGGAGTGAGGTGATGATGGCAGGCCGGCAGGAGACAATCAAGTCTAAGTCGATGATGGTGGCTTTTGGCAGGTGCGGTTATGTGCGGTTCAAGCATCCACGCGCGCTTTTTCATGGATTTTCCAAAACCCTTTTTGTCGCTTGCGGACCCAGGGTAGTGTAACCTGGTATATGACTTGGTCAGCGAGAGGAAAACGCAACCCCGGACCCCAACCCAAGCCAAGTGGCCCTGAACCCCAAACCCATGTGGGTGGTTGTCAAAATTATGGTCCCTTTTTGGGTCCTTATTATACTACGGCACCTATCATTTAGGGTACCCCAATAGGGACCATAATTTTGACAACTACCCATGTATTTTTCCAGCAACTCAGCCAAAGTGTGCCGAGCTCCCGAGATGTGAGCTTCTTGTTCAACTGGTCGAAACTGCGGTTCCTTAAAACCTGCCAGAGAACTGGGCCGAAGGCTTCTAGGGTTGAGGGTTTAGGGTTTGTGGGTACTTCGAAGGGTCTTGCCGGCTCCAGCGCTTTATTCTTCACAATCCTCTCTTTGAGCATGGTGGCGCCTGTGGTTAAAGCCTGGGTGAAGCTTCTACTCACCCCACCGATGCAGCATCGGGGCTTTCAAAGATCAGTGGTCCCTTTTTGTGAGGGTGCTCAGCATCAGAACCCAGCAAGCACCGCACCTGTCCTGGTTTCAGCCCTGCGCTGTTGCAAAGCCTTTAAGCATCATGAAGGTCCCGCTGCAAGATTTCAGCTTTCAAGAGTCAAAAGGGCTCGCTATTGTGATGTCAGTGTACACAACCAACCCCGAAACCCCTCATATTCTGATTACTTAGGCCAAGTAGTGTGTTTTGCCGTGTTTCCCCTTGATCGCCCTGAGCCCTAAACTCTTATAAACCTAAGCCTTAACGATGCACTGCAAAGGAGTAAGCTGTGGTAGTTTAGGGTTCAGGACTTGGGCCTTGCTGTGGCGCTCTTGCTTCCTCGATTGTTGATTCGAGTTTTAGACCCGTAAGCTACCGTCACACAAAATGTACGTGGAAAGTATGGGGTTGACCTACTGTTTCCTAGGGTTTGGACGTACAGAAAGGGTTCAGTGACGTTTGGTGAAGCCTTGAACACCCTGTGAACCCTAAGCTGCCACAAATCCTAAACCCTCCTAGCCCTACCTATAGTCTCCATTGTAGTTCCTTTTTGGGGATACCTTATACAATCCTTAGTGTATATATTTGGTTAAACCAAAAGAAGGAACTACAATGGAGACTATAGGTAAGCCGCAACGTGTTTTTGGGGAAGGAGCTGGCAGCGGGGTCCTGGGCCCTGGCGATGACATGGCAGCGCCAGCGAGGCACTGGGCTTCGTTTTCCTTAGACTCCAAATAGCCCGAAGTAGGTACTACGGTTGATGATACAAATCCAGCATTACCCATAAGCAGAACTATGCCACACATCCCATAGTTTAGTGTCCTAATGTAATGCAGGATTTATACTATCAACAG